TCTGATATGGCAAATAAACATGATGTCACATGTCAACTCTGAATAATCATTCATATTATTGGTAGTCATTTCAGCATTGAGTTCTTTGTTCAAGATTCTGATGCTGCCCCTTGGTTTAGCAAGAAAAGTTCTGTTTGATTATTGATATCTGCCATGGAAGAGAGGAGAGTTTGGAAGCAAGTTATTAAACTTTTCTAGGCCTCAAAGTCCTTACTATTATAATGATGATAACAAATTTACAGAGTTGTAGGGATTAATTCAAAAACATACATGTAAAAGGCTTAGCACAGTGTCTGACCCACACAGAGTGTTCATGAAATGACATCTGCCACAGTTGGGATTACTTCTTAGAAGTTTAAGATGCTATAATCTCAGTGGGAGACTCTACTGTGGGCTACAAAACAATTCCCAAAGCTATTTTTGCTGCTCTTTATCCCTCAAAATCACATTCTTCCATAGTCGAAGAATTTTTAGCTTAACACATTGCCATCCAGAGTAAAGACTACATTTCCCAGAATCTCTTGCAATTCAGTATGACCATGTGATTCAGTTGTGGCCAATGGGATGTAAGCAGAGGTGTTAATATCCCTAAGAGACTGCTAGCAAGTGCCCTTTGACCCTTTTTCCTTTATCCCTTTTCTTCGTTCTGCTGTATGGTACTCAGAAACCATCATGGACCATGAGGGATGGCAAACCAGGGGGCTTGTAAAGAGCCTGGGCCCTTAGGACTTATTGGAGCAAAGCCAACCCAATAGACAAAATTGCATCTGCCCAAACCTTCCCTTGAAAGAGAAATAAGAGCCTGTTCTATGTAAGCCAATATTATTTAGGAGTCTTCTGCTACTCACAGCCAAACCTAGTTCTAGTTGATAATTACCTTGATGGAAGTGGAGACCAAGAAAGGGGAGTTAATGATCATGTTCACTTCTTCCCTGATCAGACACACTGTGAGTACTGTGTTTCATTTTGGATGCCATGTTAAAAGGCATTTACACAAACTGATTCCTGAGTAGAGCAACAAGGATAAACATCCTCAATATGTCACACAAAAAGTGGTTACAGGACCTAGGAATGCTCATTATGCTAGGAAAAAAAACAAACAAACCTGATTACTGTCTTAAAATATCTATAGTTATTTTTCTATCCCAGTATTGGGTATTACCAATTCTCAATTCAATTCTGAAGTACTACATTTGATCTGTGACCCTGAGTTTCATAACCCACAGCCTCAGTATACCAATAGACTGTATGAAATATGCAAATTTTGTCTGAAAAGGAGTATGTGTAGTTTTCCTGAAGAGAACAGTAGTAGTTTCTACAATATGGTCTAAAACCTGTTGATTCCAACAAGAATATAGTCCCCTAAAATCAAAATATACAAAAGTTACTCATGCTTGGACTCTGGTAGTATTTTCCCTCAGTGGTGGGTCAGACACCCCAAACCCAGCCATTTCCATTCTTCAAGGGTCTTTAATAAAAACCCAGTTTGAAGTATGACTATTTCAAAATGGGAAGAGACAAAGCACCTCCCCAAAAGTCAGAACCTCCACGCCCTTGCTCAAGGCCACCTACATAATCTGTGTGGACCAATGTAAAATGAAAATGTGAGGCTCTTTCTTCAAAATGAAGGACAAATGTACCACTAAAGGTAATAAAATATAGATCATTTTGCCTTTCTTCTATGGTAACTCTCTTGTCATTGTGTGTTTTTTATTTCATATTTAATACCGTTCTAAGTAAAGCAAAATTAAAAACTTCAAATATGACCATGAATTTTATCATTCATCTCTATATTGTGCAATGCTACTTTTATTTTTTTATTTTTTTAGTGACTGGCTGGTAAGGGGATCTGAACCCTTGCCCTTGGTGTTATAACACCATTTTCTAACGAACTGAGCTAACTGGCCGGCCCCCAGTAATGCCAATTTTATGTGCAAATATAAGAGCATTTATTTTATATTTGCACAATCTGTGAAATCACACAATTCGTATTTTGTAGCTCTTTCATGCTTATTTCATTCTTATCAGAACTGTGGAAATGCTGTACAAAACTAATTGAGTTGTTTTTATTTCCTTATATTCACACATTCTGCCAACACTTTCAACCTTAGGCTTACCTATGAGTAGAGGAGGACTGAAAAGGAAAAGAATTGTGGGTTTTCCTCTCTTTCCTTTCCACTCTATATCATCATTTTTAGCGTAAGTGGCTAGAAAATAGGAGCCCAACAGTTAGCTCAGTTGGTTAGAGTGCAGTATTGATAACACTGAATATCAGGTTCGTGTCCCTGTACTAGCCAGCCCCCCCAAAAAAATTTTTTTTAAATAAATAATAATAATAAAGCTCCTTAGTCATTCATGTTTGGTAGAACATCATCCAAAAAAAATTTTTTTTTAAATAAATAATAATAATAAAGCTCCTTAGTCATTCATGTTTGGTAGAACATCATTGCCTTTCTTTGTTCAGAGCAAGTTCTAGTTCAAATGGAAAGTGTGCCCCCCCCCGCCCCGCCCCAGGGCTGTCAGCTCCCCTTTTTACCCGGTTGCAGAGGTACTGGTATGGAACATGAGCACAGAACTCCAGTGGACCCACAAAGCATGAAGGTCCAGTGAGATTCAAAGTGATTACACAAATTCAAAGATAAAATTGTTAAGAATTGCTAGATGGCAGCAGAACATTAAACCAAGTGTGAACCCTTCTGAGAACAGGACCCTGAGTATGAAGTGGTATGTAATGGAAGCCATCGTGAACAATGTATGGCAATGGGGCAGCAAGGAAAAGCAACAGACACATATTGCATGCATCCATCTGCTCACATGCATAGTCCATTGTCTCATCAGACCTCACTTATAAATCATAAGTTTAAATATAAATTACTAAGCACTTCAAAATGGCAACAGCAGAGCATTAAATCAAGTGCAGCGCCCTTCTGAGCACAGGCTGTGGGCCCATGAAGTGGCTCTGCTCTCTGCTCTCACTTTCTCCTTCATACCCTCTACCTTCAAACAACGGAAAATCCTCTCTGCTTATTCCTTCTTGATGCTTCTGCATTTATGAGCCACATTGCCCAGTGGTAGTAAACTGAGGACTAATGGAGTTGATCTGGTGGATGACATCTGGAGAACAAGAGTTGTTAGCTAGAGAGGGATATTCCAGCCTCTTCCACTCAAGCCAGGAAGGCCCCTAGACTAGGATGAGGATGTAAACATTAGTTAACTTAAAAAACAAAACAACAACAAAAAAACTTCATAAGGAATGCTTTGTTAATTTTCATTTATTCAATCCTTTATTGTCCCAGTGAATATTTACTGACTACTTCAAATTGCTAATGAGATGCTGAAAATTTAACTATGGACAAGGCAAATACAGTTTCTGCCTTTACACAACTTAAGCAATGAATGACAAGTCAGTACCGCAAGGAATACCGAAGGGAAAGTTCAGACTAAGTGCAAAGCAGAATACTAAGGGGGCTTTGGGGACAGGTATGCTTTTTGGAAGAATTCACCTCTACAGTGAAACCTTCAGCATGAACTGGAGTTAAGTGAGGCCAAGGGAAAGGAAAGAAAGACTGCTCTTGACAGAATAACATGGACAAAAGGGGGAAGAGGAATTTAAAGAAAATGAAAGAAAATTCAAAAGAGGTGGAACCAGGAACCCTGGGGCTCTTTAGGGACCAAACATCTTAAGGAATTTGAACTTCATCACAAATGCAAAAATATCACTCTGACCATGAAGAACACGGGGTGTAGAGTTTGCAGTCAGACTGGGTACTGGTGCTGTTCAGGGAATCAGCAGGAGGCTGGATTAGGGGATTGAAAAAAGTGGGTGGACATGAGAAATACTTATAAAGTAGAGTTGACAGGACAGGGTAACATGACGGGGAAAGGTTAAGGAAGGATAAAAATGTCAATAAGGATGATTCCCCAGGCTTCTGGGTTGGTAACTGGAGGGATGCAGGTGCCATTTACTGAGGGTTAAAGAGCCAGAAGTAACCTGGCAAAGAGAAGAAACATGGAGCTAAAACCTGCAGATATCTGCACTTTCTCTAACAATGTCTCTTTAACCCAAAGTGTGCTCTCTGCCTTGGTTTTCATTTCACTAAAAGCTGTCACCTTGTAGCATGCCCAATGACTGCTAAGCAGGCCACCAAACACGGAGAGGCTTCTCACAAGAGGGAGCCCTTGAGCACAGCCTCGGAGATGGGAAGGCGGAAGACTGAAGAAACAGGAAGACCGAAAATACTCCCCGCGCCCTTAAAGGTCTCGCAGTAGCTCCACCCCTAATAATCCAGCGACTCGGGAGCGGAAAAGCCCGGGCGGGTGGCTGTACCACTGGGTCCTCCCCGGGAGGCGGTGGATGCCCGGATGTGAATGTCCGGTCACGTGACGCCGCCCTGCGTGGGTGGTGGTGGCTGCGCCGTCGTCTCACGTGACCGCCTCCAGCCAGCCAATGGGAGAGCGCGGCGGCGAATTTCGAATGTGGTCGCGGGAGCTGCGGGCGACGGGAGGCGGTGCACAGACCTGGAGGGTCCGGAGCGCGGGCTCCGTGCGGCGGTACAGCCTCGCGGAGTCTTGGAGTGTGAGGAGCAGGAGGGGTAGCTGCGGCAGAAGCAGTGGCCAAGGTACCGTTCTGGACGCGCCCGCGGGAGGAGGGTCGCCGCGCCCACTTCCGGCAGTTCCTTTTCACCCATCCCCGGCTTTCCCGGAGCTCCCCGGAAAAGGAAGAGGCCGCAGGTTTTTCAGGGGTGGAACAGGGGCGTAGTGACCCCTGTTCGGCCAAACTCGGGGTCTCAGTATCGTTCTAAATGCGGCGGCCAAAAGCTCGGACGGTGGAGTCACACTGACTGGGCGCCTTTCGCTGCACAGCAATCCGATTTGCTCTTTCCGATGTTGCACTTTCCTCTTCTGTTAGAGGAATGGGGACCCGAACCTTGCAGAATTGTGTAGATTAAGTCATGTGCAAACACAGCATTTACAGTAGTGAAAAGCCAGGTTTAACGTAAGGACACAAAATAATTGGCTGCCATTTGTTCAGCGCGATGCCGTTGACGTCCTTTACTTTGTCCAGGCCTTTCGCTTCCTCGGTTACCCTGGAGCGGCCGGCCCTGACATGGGCCCTACCTGGCTGCCTCCGCAGCAGGACAGGTTAGAGAATTATGGACGGAGATCAAATATTCTAGGTACTTTTGAATGCAGACCCCTTGTCAGAATACTATATAGATTGAGGCCGTCATCCCGCATTTTGACCTGCCTCTGCTTTCATGGTTCCACTGCTAACACCGTCGTCCCAGACAGGAGATAATACTTGTGATACGACAAATTTCTTTTTGTGTTTTTAACTTGATTAATAACCAAAGCTTTTTTGATAAGGCTTTGCTTTTAAAATACCTTAACTAAACTACCTTGATCAGTAACTTAATCTGTATGACTCTCAAACATCTCCAGTATGAACTTCAAAAACTTCGTTGTGGTTTTATACAACCACTTACCATTAGTGCTGTTAAAAATAGTTGCACTTGCTCTACTGGAACCCTCCCAGTATATATTGTATATACATTGGTAGAAAGAAAATATTTAAATGGGATCTACATGCTATAGTCAATATGTTTATGGAATATATATATGACTCCAGACACTGTATAGAGGAAAAAAGGCCTAGAGAAAATACTCAAGAAAATGTAAGGTTTAGGACAATTTTTCACTACCTTAGAGGAGATGAAGATATTCTTTATGGTGAAAATTGTATGAATAGATTGTTGTGGAAAACTAGATTTTTTTTTGCAATTTTAAGATCTGCAAAGTGCAATCTAGGGTAAAAGATGTTCATTAAAAGCAGTTTGACATGCATAGTATCGTGCTGCAGCATATCTAATTTGTCTGAAAAATTAAGTATACTTATTAACATTCTATAGCATATTCCACTGTCAGTGCATGTTTTGCTGTTTTTAATGGTATGTACATCAGTCTTTGTTTAATGTCTTATTTGCTATGTTCATAATTTACTGGGAGTTAGCAGACCTGAGTTTTAGCAATAACTAAGAATACTAGCATGTTCCTCTGCCTTAGTTCCTGCTCTTTCCAGCTCTATAGTTGTTATAATAACCTATTAAAATCTTATGTAGTGCTGCATAGTTTAACTAAACCTCTGAAGATCACCTTGACTTTCTTGAGAGTGCGTGCATATTTTAAGTGATGGGGGTTAAAAGAGTGTGGAAGAGAGAGACAAGTGACTGAGTGACCTAATCTGATAATAATTAGAAAAGAGCTGAAAAACAAAACCCAGGCACATAATTGTCTCTGAACTAATGCTGTAAGCTTAAGCACTAAAAATTGGTCATAAACATTGTCTATAAGAAACATAAATAATAATGGCATAGATTTCTTCCACATTTAAGTGGCACCTATACAAGTGTGTTCTAAGACATGCTGTAATACTGATTCCCACCCGATCGTCAGAAGTAGGAGACAAGAGCGATCACAGGGCTTCCCAGCCCAAAGAATGAGCTGTAAAACTTCACTCCTCCAAGAAGATGGGAGTTTGGGGGAAGAAAGGACAGACAAAAAAAGATAAAAAGAGTTCATTTCTGAGGAATTCTATAAGCAACATTTTAGGGAGTTAAAGTTCTTGCTGGAGTCCTAATGTATAACAGACCAAAGAGCTGAAAATAAATCATGGGAAATGAGTGAAGACCACCTGGCCTTGGGTGAGCAGCATGACCACTTCAGACCAAGTTTTTCTTCTCTAAATACTTGTCTTGACTCCTGCTCTTCCTTCCACATAGGCTTGCTGTGAAATCAAACAAGTTCTTGTTGGTGAAAGTGGTTTGTTAATCCTCAAACAGTGGTTGAAGATGAAGTATTGCGGATTTCCTGACATTAATTTGCTATTAAATAGAGTAAAAGTCCATGGCTGGCTGACCCTATAAGAAATGGATATCAATTTTTTTAATCAGCATCATTTTAGTTTGGGCTTATGTGAGATTTAATTGACTCTTGTATGAGTATGTTCCCTATTATATATTTGAGATTCTTTACCTTTAGACTAAACTGAATTTTGTTTTTAAAAATACAATAAAAAAGCATTTTAAGAACAAAAAACAAAAAATATGGCATCAAAATATAATAATAAGCATTTCCTAAAATGCCTAGCATATAGTAAGCCACTATAGAGCATTAATGAATAAGTGGCATATTATGGTATCTTTGGGTTAGAAATCTATATTCAATAAAGCTTTTCTATGAAGCGTTGATGAGGATAAGATTATGCCAAAAAATATTAATGAGATTTTAAAGCCACAAAATCTACCAGATTAGCTAGCTATCTACTTTGAGCTAATTCTGCAGTTAAGTCTCTATTGTTTATGAGCAACCTATGTTTTCAATCTTAAGTTTTATATTTGATAATATTGTTTGTGAGAAAAATTAAATCTTTTTTTATTCCTTTAAATTCCTAGGCAGAAGATGGCCAAGGAAAGGTGCCTGAAAAAGTCCTTTCAAGATAGTCTTGAGGACATAAAGAAGCGAATGAAAGAGAAAAGGAATAAAAGCTTGGCAGAGATTGGCAAACGCAAGTCTTTTATAGCAGCACCATGCCAAATAATCAGTAAGAGATTTTTATGTTTTCCTTTTACATCACTTTTTAAATTTATGTTTAACAACTGATAAATTTTTTTATCCTCTTTTAGCCAACACTTCTTCACTGCTGAAAAATTACCAAGACAACAACAGAATGTTAGTTTTAGCTGTGGAAAATGAAAAATCCAAAGTGAGAGAAGCCCAAGATATCATCTTTCAGCTGAGAAAAGAATGTTACTACCTTGCATGTCAGCTATATGCACTGAAAAAAAAACTTACTTCACAACAAACAGAAGAACCTGCTCAGGTATTTTCATTACAAAGTCTGAATTTCTTAGGGGAAAAGAACCCATGAATAAATAGTTTAAATCAATTATGCTATTTGATTACTGATAGCTCTTTTATTGGTGAATTGATTAAAACATCCTTTTTTTAGTGCTTCAGCACAGCTATTGTGTCTGGCTGGTTAAGAAAGCTTCCGGCATGTAGGTGATTGAGGCTTATGCCTTCCTTACTTGGTTCTGAAAGCAGGTAGCACAACAACATGCAGAAGAAATAGTTTAACTTTTTGCACTGCTTATCCCTTTGAATGTTTGACTAAACGAATCAACGATAGGGCAATTAAGCTAAAGGTCTAAAAGTGGTAGTTGAAGTGGACTAGTCCAGAAGTTTTAATCAATGCTGTCTTAGCTTTTATTTTAGCTTTTCTATGTAGTTTTGCTATGCCCGGTGGAGTTTTATAAGAACTACTTTTATTTGGTTTGTGGGGATTATTTAAGTACTTTTTGAAGAATCGTTTTTACCTACAAGTTGGCTAAATAAGGAAGACTATATGTTAACTCCCAGACAAGAAATATCCTGAACATTTTGTTGACCAAATTTTTAATCTGATTCTGTTTGTGTCCAAGGTTATAAAGAAGGGGCTCAAATATGGTCCTGCCAGCCAAAACATAACAGACGTGAAGAAAATTTGCTTTAGGATATTCCTTGTGTCTCATTGTCCATTAATCCTGAGAAGAGTAATGATGAGCCAGTTTCTCCTTCCCTTTTCCCAGAAGCCACTGCCAGGGAAATTACATGGGGCAGAGAAAGAGAAAAGCAGTGGTGAGTGTCAGGTGTTAACACAACAGTTTACTTTCTTCTCGGGGGCCATCTGTTTGCGTGCCAGTGAAGACAGTTGGATTGGCACTTAGGCCAGAAGGCCAGATAAGAAAGCCAGACTGTAGTGATTGGGGTAGAGGTATGGGGGGACTTGAGAAAGGAATTAATGTCACCTCTCTGTTGACAGGAGAAGTCAGTGAAAGAGTTCTTACTTCCCTGTAACTAAGGTGATTCCTTGTTTTTTTCTATGTGTGATATAGACATAGGTACAATATATACATATACATACATACACATACACAATATGGACATATATAGTGTAGCTGAGAATCGCCCCTATAAAGGTATGATTTCTTCACCTTCATGTGAGGGTTAGATTATTTAAAACAATTTTTTTTCAGATTATAATCTTTCCTAACTTTTTCTTGTCCTTGTTAAGTCAACTAGTAGGCGAAAACAATCCCTCCAAATGCCTTCGAATTGTCTTCTTCCCTTTCCAAAGTTTTTGCTGAAATCACACAGAAATAGTATGAAATGAATACTCAATGATCACAAAAACAATGGGAAAAAAATTCTATTATTGCAGGCCCCTTAATATTTATCAATGATTTTTTTAGTGTTTTTATTAGAATGTATTGTTAATTGCTGGACAAATGTATTCTTACCATTTAAAACATCAAAGTTTATTTTTTGCCATATACTTATTGCATGTGTCATTTATCCTCAGTCATCATTCTGTACTCATGCTTCAGTGTTTATTAAGTAAATTTAGCAGTGATGGAGAAGCTTAAAATGCTTTAATTATAAGAATGTTTTCTTGCCTAGCAGTAGTTAACTTAGCTCATATGTAATTTCTAATAGCCTTTTATTCCCTAAATTTTTTAATGGATCTCTTAATAATTTGTCTTTCAGTTATATTACTGTATAATTAAATATTCTTTTCTCCTTTATTTACCTTCAATAATAACACTAATTTCAGAACATTAGCTATATTGATATAAAATGTAAAACTAAACAGGATTAAATTTCTGGTTGTTTTGTTCATGATGAACAGTTTTAGCCCATTTATTATAGCGTCACCATATTATATATGCATCAAATTTCAAGAAGCAATTGAACTAAATTAGAGTGGCTTCTTAAGAATTGGACTAGAACTCCCACCTTCCTTACGTGAATCTAGAAATCTGCCTTTATCTGTACTTGTGGTCTCCATCTTCCCTCTTGCTACAGTGGCAGAAGGGTCCCTGCTCCTATTAAAGACCAAGCTCTCCCCTTGTGCATTAAATTCCCTTCCTCTCACTTTCTGTAGGACTTTGCTCAGAAATTTGCTCTCTCCTCCATGTGTCTCCCTCTCTACCAGATCATTCCAGCCACCATAAAGAAGTGCTTTAGCACCTCTCACCTTAAGAAGGAAAGAATAAATGTAACCTCTTCTTGTCTCATCTCTACCTCCTCATTTCTCTGCTTCGCTTTACAATTAGAACTTTTCCAAAGAGAACAGTGTACTCATGTCTTCACTTCCTCAGCTTTCATTCACATTTGAAACCAGTCTTAATCTGGCTTCTGTCCCTACCATGCTATTGTCCCTGTGTGTCAAAGTCACCAAAACCTCCATGTTATCAAATTCAGTGCTGACTTCTCTTTTTTCTTGACCTTACAGTAATATGCAACACAGGGATTACTCTTTACTTGAGATACTTTGATATCTTAGCTTTCTTGACATTATACTCTCCTAGTTCTCTTTCTACCCTTCTATTTCATGTCAGTCTCCTCTGCCAACTTCTTTACTTTTAAATGCTAGTTGTCCTAGACTCATCTTATCCCCTCCCATAGCATTAAATACTATCTGATGGTGACTTCACTTCCAAATTTATAGCCCAAGACCTAAACACAAAAACACACACACAGCTACTATGTAATATCTCCACCTCAATGTTTGTAAACAATCTCAAACATACTTTATACAAAGCACAACTCTTTATTTTCCCTCTCCCAAAAATACTGTGTACTTCTACCCGCCTCCATAAGTCTTACTTATCTCAGTAAAGTAGCCTGCCCATTTGCTCAGGCCAAAACCATGAGAGGATTCCCTGTCCCTCATTGTCTATACCTCCATTCTCATTCAATACTTGAGCATGATTTATTTAAGGCCTTACACTGAGCTTCACTGTCTTAGCCACAACTTTAGTCCTGACATATATCATGTCTTCCTTAATTTGCTGTGATGACCTCCTAACTCCTACACCTGGCCCCTTTCAATTCATGCTTCACACAGTGGTTAGATCTTTTTAAAACTTAGGTCATTTTACTTCCCTGCTTAATATTAAGTGACTTCCCATCACACGTAAACTAAAATCCAAACTTATGGCTCTCAAGGCCCTGCATTATCTGGTTTCTGGATGTACATCTCCTACTGTTCTCTCTGACTGTTCCAGCCACAGCAGCCTTTCTTTCCTAGATACAGAAAGATTTTTCCTATATCATGACTTTTGTATTTGACGTTTATACTGCTTTCTCTTCCTCCTGCTCTTTTAATGGCTGGCTCCTTTGCAGTCTTCAGATTTCAGATCAAATTCACTCTGTCTGAAAGAGCCCTCCAGCCTTAATTTCTATCCATCACTTCACTCTGGGTATTTCCTTCATAGCACTTTTCACTATAACATATATATATATATATATGTTTTGTTTTTAATTTCCTCTCCCTGTGCTAGAATGTAAGCTTTAAGAGGGCAAGACTTAATCTGTTTTTTAGCTGTTATAGTCTCAGTTCCTAGAACAGTGCATGGCACAATAGTGGACTGTCAATAAGTCTGTGTTATTGAATACTTATTTATGTATTCAATAAAGTGTTTATGAATTCTTGAGTTGTAACAGTGTTTTCTTTTGTTTTAATACATTAACAGAACCAGGAAGTTTGTACCTCTGGAATGGACTCCAATAGTGATGACAATTCCAGGAATTTATTTGTGAAGCATTTACCGTTAGTATCAAATTCGTTATTATGACTGTTAATACCAAGAAAGATTTAATTCTGTGATCCATTTATGAAAGGAAATTTGCATTATATTGACTCTTATACTTGGAGTCTGATGTTCTCTCTACTGAGAATATTTTTAAGAAAATTTGATGTGTTGAAATTACATTATATATAGCCAAACTGAAGTTATCTTTTTCTTATATTTAGTTACTTTTTTGATGTCTAGGAATAAGAAGGTTTGCTAGAATTTTTAAAGTATTCCCTTCAGTCATATTTTTCTCTGTATCATGTGTTTATTCTAAGGATTGGTTATTGAAATGATGGTATTTTCCCAGTTCTACAAATAGTTTGGTTTAGAAAAAAATATGTGATAAAACATCATGTTTAACACAGCTGTCACACTCTCCTACTGATCCAATTCATTTTTCCAATCAGATCCCATGTACCCTCTTCCCCTTCTCTTGGATGAAGTGTACTTTATTTGTTGCTTATGAATTACTGAGATTTAATTACATACAGTAAAATGTACAGATCTTAATTACACAGTTGACGAGTTTGACTCATATATACACCTGTGGAACCAAAACCTCTATTAAGATACAGAGCATTGCCATCCCTCTAGCCCAGGGTTTCTCAGTCTTGGTACTGTTGACATTGCAGGCCAGGTAATTCTTTGTTGTAGAGGACTGTCTGTGCATTATGAGATGTTTAGCAGCATCCTTGGCCTCTACCTACTAAATGCCAGTAACATTCCACTCTTTAATTGGTTAGAGCCAAAAATGACTCCAAATATTGCCAATATCCCCTGGGGAGCATAATTGCCCCTGGTGAGAACTACCACCATAGATAGGTCCCTTGTATTCCTTTCAAGTCTATCCCCTTCTCCTGACAGAAGTAACCACTAATATGATTTCTGTCCCCATAGATTACTTTTAATCTTTAGTAGTTTTTAAACAGTTGAACTCTAAGATCTGACAAAATACTTATGGGCAAAAAGTAAGATGAAGTAATCGAGTTTCAATAAGATTTCTAAAGTAGTTATTAGTTACTATAACCCTATATCTGTTACCTAAACCTTTATTTAATTTTTGCTGTCTAGAGTGGAAAATTCTCTACAAAGAATAAAATTACAATTAGAATGGCACTGCCAGGAATAGTATTAGATGGTAAACAAAATTTCTTGTTTCATGAACCAAAGAACAAGATTTTTAAAGAAAATGGACAGTGTTAAACAACTTCAGGAGAGTTCAATAGTTACGTACAATAAAAGTATGTATTAATAATAAATCACTGTTCTGCTAATGATAAAGCAGCCTCCTAAAAAGTTGAGTAATCAAACTGCATTTAAAAAATATAAGTCAATTTTGATTGGCTGTTTCTTTAGTTAAATGAAATTGAGTTGTAGTATGTTTTCAGGTGAACTATCCAACTTAGTATGTTAGTTTTTCCAGTGGCAATTGAATGCTAGTTGTAACAAATCAGCCTCCATGTAATTGGGATAATTATTTTTTCGTTTCCCTTGATACAGAATAGATGTATTGATTTGGAATTGAATTATGAAATGATACTAAAGGAAAGGAAAAAAACTTATAATTTAGGAAAACATTAAATTTCTTTTTATTACATGAATGCTAAATAAATCTCTGGTTTTTTATTGGTATTTTCTAAGGCAAGTTCCTCTTCAAGAAACTGACTTTCCAGGACAAGGAGAACCATCCCAAACAGAAGGTAATTGAAGCAAAAGTTATAAAGGGCAAGATAAGATCTTTAAGAACAAGTAACAATTAAATTTCTCTAATTCTTTTTTTTTTTTTTTTTTAAATTTTAAAATCTGTTCATGTGGTGTTCTGTTTTTTTGTTGTTGTTGTTGTTGTTGTTTTTTACCCAGGATCTCCTCTTTACCATCATCTGGTATTCTACTCACAGCAAATCTGTTTATTTTATACAGAATAATAGAGATTTAAAATACATCCATCCATTGTGCCAAATCTGTAACTGGAAACCTTGACTATAACTATGGCTACAATTTACTGAGTCTTACTATGGGTCAGACTCTGTTAGGCATTTTACATTCATTGTCTCACTTACTCCTCAGAACAACCTGCAAATATAATTACAGTCAGTTCCATTCTGTGTAGACTCAGAGGGGTAAAGCATCTCACAAGAAGTAGCCCACATGGTAAGAGCTAGGGGTAGACTCAAAACTGAACTTAAAAGCCATGCCCTTCTTACTACTGTTACTTATTTTTATTTTATTTTATTTTTTTGGCAGCTGGCTGATACTAGGATCTAAACCCTTGTCCTTGGTGTTATAACACCACACTCCAACCAAGTGAGCTAACCAGCCAGCCCCTTACTACTTTTAAATTGATGCGTCCCTGTTCTCAAATATCAATCCCCTCTACTTGAACCAAGCTTTGAAGAAGGGATAGTTTTGGGTGGGCTTTTTTTATACTTTAGCGACTGGCTGGTATGGAGATCCGAACCCTTAACCAAGCAGCACCGCTGCTCTGAGTGAGCTAACCGACCAGCTCTGGGATACCTTTTGAATAAGCAAAACCAGATGAATATCCTCACTTTTCCTAAAAATACAGATTATATTTCTTACCTGAAAGGGTTTCCAGTTACCCAAATCTTACTCATTTTTCAAAAACAACTTAGTTCCCACTTCTCAGTATATTTGTCCCACTTTGGAATATGAGATTCCACACCTCTGAATCTGTACTCACTGACTATTCATTTTTCTTTAAAACAGGGGTATTTAAAACTACATGTTAGAATATTCTTAAAGGTTATGTAAGATTCTTTCACAGGATAGATATAAACCATCAGTTAATCATTTACAAGTAAATAGAGGGTAATATTAAGTTCCCCAGATATCAATTTACTTACAGTAAATGCAGGAAAACCACAGAATGACTTTTCTGTTGTTTCTTTTTAACTTTGAATTCTAAGATTCCTGAAATTCAAATTTCTATAATGTAAAACTGTTTTTCTCATTTATTTTTTAAATTCTCAGAGCACATGCCTACTATTCCTCAAGACACACCAGGATTTGATTTTGATTCAGGTGAAGCTAAATTTACTGATAATGTCTTACCTAGAACTGTATCTCTTCGTCGCCATTTAAAGAAACACTGTAACAATCTATGTCAATCTGATATCTTGGATAATTTTGAAACCAGCCATTTGGCAGAGCAGTCTTTTGAACTGGAAAGAACTAGATTAGAAGACCCACAAGTAAATATGCACATACCTGAAAATGTAGAACAAAATGTTTGTCAATCGAACAAAGACCAAATTATCTTACCACTAAAACCGATTGACCCAGGAAAGTTTACTAAAATGAAAGAAATCATTTTAGAACCTAAATCTGAACAAACTAAAAGTAAGCATAGAGATGTACAAGGAAGAAAAAGAGAAGAGAAAAGAAAAGCTAACAGAAGAAGAAAATCAAAATCTACATTAAAATATAAAGGGAACAAAAGTGAAAATAAAAAAACCGTTTCCAAAAAAAAATTGGATGAATCTATCAGTGCCAGTGATGCTTACAATTTTAATTTGGAAGAGGGTGTTCATCTCACTCCATTCCGACAAAAAATCAGCAATGATTCTAATAGAGAAGAAAACAACAGTGAGTCTGAAGTGAGCATCTGTGAATCAAGTGGTTCAGGAGATGACTCTGATGACCTCTATTTGCCGACTGGCAAGTACATTCAAAATCTTGCCAGCAAATCAGATAGGAGACCAGTCACCAGGCCTCGATCTAAAAGAGCACTAAAATATATGGATGAAAAAGAGATGGAGGGTTCTAAGCCAACAGAAACTCCCACCAGTAAGTGATCTACTTGTTTGGTTTCATTTTTAATGTTTATGTTAAATGATCATTCCGGATGCTTATATACTGTACATTCCATCTGTTTCTCTGGGGGAGGTTAGAGACTAACCGTCTGTCTCTCTCTGGGGGAAGTTGCCATCTGATTAAATAGTGAGGAGCTGGGGGTGGAAATCAGAGTTGTGTTGCTCTGACTTACTTCAAGCTAATTTAAACACTCTAACAACAAATATTACTTCTTATGGAGACAGCATTTTTATTTTCAGGAAATGAAGCCTCCCAAGGAGGCAGGGGGACTTTTTGTGGAGTTAAATTGAATTAAAGTATCTTTTATACACTAACCTGAAATATCTTCTTGAAAATGAAATCAAACTTGAATCCAGTGACTTGTCATTTTAATGGTTTATATTTTTTGGTTTTTGCTTTATATTTAATATGACAGGAACCATGATTTAAAATTATTTTCTAGTTACTGAAGGTGGCCTAATGAGACCAAGAAACTTTTTCCTCAGTTGACAGCTTAGGATTCTTTTGTAAGACATTTCTAAGACATCTATAAACTGTGGTTTTTCAAAATATTGTCACATTATTTCATTTGTTCCTCAGAACAACTCTATGAAGTATAGGTGTCATTATGATTGTTTTGTTGATAAGGAAACAAAAGCCTAAAAAAGTAAGCGACTTTCCAAGTCTACCAGTTAAGTGGGGGTAGCACGCAAATATCTTTTTAAAAAATATACCCTAATGTTATTAGAATAAATCAAACAAGTTTGGAAAAATGTTGGTAATTATTGAAGCTAGGTAACTTGGGGTTCATGATATAACCTGATTGTATATGTTGTCACCATCTTTGTGTACGTTTGAAAATGTCCATAATGAGTTTTTAAAAGAAAAAAAATGTACTTTAAAATAGTGTTACTCAGAGTTTGGTCTCCAAAACCTCATCTAGAAACTTCTTAGAAATGCGGAATCTCAGTCCTTACCCTACGCCATTGAATCAAAATCTGCATCTTTTTAACAAGTGCCTTTTGTTTCATATGGATTCATGTATACATTAACGTTTGAGAAGCATTATCCTGGGATATAGCAACTGATCCGATGTTGCTTAGACGTGTTTCTCTAACTGAAAATTGTAATAATATAGTACAATATATTTATGTGGCAATGAAAAAGACAGGCTGTTTGAAACCCAGATAATCCTGGAGCATATTGCTGCTTAGTATTAAATCACTGTACAGTTACAATTCAGTTTTTCTGGGGATACAATTTGCTTTTTAAAGCTATTCCAGGAGATTGTCTTACAGTGTCTTTACGGTATGCTGGGTACCTGCATCCCAATATAGTTGTAGCTCCAAAATGTAATAACTGGGATGTCTATGATGGGAAAAACAATGGGTAACTTTTTAACGTACTAACTTTCCTAGAAGGAGCCCCTGTTCTCCTGGTTTATACAGAGGCTATGATTTAGAGTTCTCATTTATTTAATAGAATGAGTTTAAGTGGCTTTATAAGACTGTAGAAAACCAATCAATGATAACCTTTGGTATTGAAAGAGATAGAGGGGCCTTGACAATTCTAAATAGCAAGGTATGACTAAAATGAAATTCCGTAGTTTAAAACTAACTCATTATGCCCAAGCCATCCTAGAAGAATTTTAAGTTTTAGTAAACTGTTCTATCATTTCTTCACTTTTACCATAATTAATATTTTAACATTATCTGGTTTGAAAAGAAGAGAAAAAAATGTTGAAAAGGTTGAAAAAAATCTGTATTATATAAAGTGCTGGATTTTTGTATACATTTAGGATATATAATCGAGTATAATTTTAGTTCCTGTGATTTTTTTTTTCTGGAACCATGTTCAGTAAAAGTTGTTTTTGTAGGTACACCACCTGAAACTCACCAGTCACCTCATTTTAGCCTAAAGGATATCACCAATGTTTCCTTGTATCCTGTAGTCAAAGTCAGAAAACTTTCTCTTTCTCCAAAAAAGAATACAGAAAGCCCAGCAGTGTCTCTGCCTAAGCGCAGGTGCACGATCAGCATGAACTATAAGGAGCCCACACTTGCTTCGTAAGTATTTGATTTGTGGGAACTCATTTTTAATGATGCGTGGGGGTAGTAAAGTTGTCAAGCTTTGTTCAAGAATGAGTCTTAAACTATCAAAATATTTTTTAAAAAAATGAGCCATCTGAAATATAAAAATTTGATTAAAAAAACAAGTGGGGAAATTAAAATTGGCATATTTTACAATAAATTTATACTGAAAAATAAGTTAACATTGAGATGCTTACAATTATACCTAAGATCTCTTTTTACCCTTATAGGAAACTGAGAAGAGGGGACCCTTTTACAGACTTGTGTTTCTTGAATTCTCCTATTTTCAAGCAGAAAAAGGATTCAAGACGTAGTTCTAAAAAAAAAAAAAAAGTATGAAGCAAATACAATGAAGATTTTCTGTTGAAAATTCATTCTACACGCCTTTCTGTTGCTTCAAGAGAGAATCTCTAAGACAGTACACAAATGGGTCAAACTATTGCCATAGAATATTCTCTTGACAGGACTCTGGATCATGAACATTTCTTCAAAACTATACTTCAAATGTGATTTTTGTCTTAAACCTTTAATAAATTTGATTTATTTCTTTTGAATATAAATAACTGGACTTAAGTACTATAATTGTTTTGATTTTTTATGCTGCCTAAATCCCCTTAATTTTAGTTAAAATGTATCTTACACCAATATTTTGGAAATTAATAATGATTATTCAAACTAAGATACTTTAATTATAAACTTCTGGCATCTTTATTTTTCTCTTAAGTGGGAGATACTACAGTGAATGATTTTTTTGAAGACAGGATCTTTTGAAACTCCTTATATAATATTTGAGTAAACTAAATCTTTGACATTCACAGTAGGGTATACCCTAAGTTGTTTGTGGATCCTTTATACCATTGTTGTATTTAATTTTTCAGATAAAATGTGTTTGGGATCATGATTAGAGAATTGATGGTTGTTTAGGCCCAGGGACTAGGTAAATGACTAGTTCTGAACCCCGAGCTCTAAATATTGTTCAAAGTGAATGCCTCAGCAAAATCACAAATTATGTCATGGACTTTCAGAATAGCTCCTAATTTAGTCAAAAGTCTCAAATGTGTGAATACTAAGGGTTTTTCTGTATTTTTGACCAACCGAAGAGGGAATTAGTTCAGAAAGTTTGATGTCTATACTTGTATATACCTCTTTATATTTTTAAGGCATTGTAGGTTATCCATTTTTAAAGAGCAATAAAGTTTGTATAAGATAGCACTTGTGTTTTCCTTCTGTTTTTTAAATGTGAAAGATAGAATACCTGTTTGGTTGTTTTTCAACCACTCCTCTTATTCTTTAAATTCATGGAAACTCTAGAGTGGCTATCTTATCTAAGAATAAATACAATTAAAAATCTCTCACCGGCCGATGGCTCACTCAGGAGAGTGTGGCGCTGGTAGCACCAAGGCCGCGGGTTCGGATCCTATACAGGGATGGCCGGTGCGCTCACTGGCTGAGTGTGGTGCAAACAACACCAAGTCAAGGGTTGCAATCCCCTTACCGGTCAGAAAAAAAAAAAAATTCTCAGTCCCAGTAGCCACATTTCAAGTTCTCACTAGCCACATGTGGCTAGTGGTTACCATACGGGGGACAGTGCAGATATAGAACATTTCCATATCACTTCCAGAAACTTCAGTTAGACAATGCTGTTCTAGACTACCAGTAGGCAAACTGGCCTATGGGCCAAATCCAGTACGATGCCTGTTTTTGGATCGTCTACAAGCTGAGAATGGTTTTTACGTTTTTAAATAGTTGGGAAAAAAAATCAAAACACTTGGAATCAATTTTGATGACAGAAAACAATAACTTTAAACCACAATAAAGTACCTACATAATATCACTGATTTTGTCTCTTAGCTTGTAATGCCTAAAATATTTACTTTCTGACCCTTTATCAAAAATGTACCATGCCCTAAACCATTGACTGACTGCTTTATAGATCTCTCTCTTCAGACACTTTCTCATCTAGCTTTGATCCTCACCTTCCCTTCATCCCCAGAGTCAACCACTATCCTAAAACCGATGTTAAAGTTTTTGTACTTTTAATATTTCTGTATTCTTGCTGTAGGGGTTTATTCCTAGACTGTTGTTTTGTATTTTAACATTTTACATGTTATCATTTTCCTGTGTACATATCCTTTTACAACTGACTTTTAACTCAACAGTGTTCTTGAGATTTATTCACATTGGCAGATGTAGATTATTTTCATCATTGTACAGTATTTTATTATATAAATAAACCAGACTTAGTCAATTCTCCTGAGCAACAATTTACTTCCACTTTTTCACTATTTACAAATTAGTGCTACAGTTGAATACTCTGCATAAGCTTCCATGAACTGATACCTAGAAGTGGAGTTGTTCTGTTATAGAACATACTGAACTCTAACTTTAATATGGGTTAGCAAATTGCTCTCTACATACAGAATCATACATAATTTAGAAGATAGGAAAATTTTCTGTCTCAACACAGTGATAATAATACTGGACTTTGGATTCCCTCTTTTGCAACAATTCTGAAACTGCCTTGGGACAAAATATGGGAAGAACATAGGGCTCACTTTGCTTTTTTTTCCTTCTTTCTGGGATCATA